TCGAGATCAATACTGCTACTGGTATCACGTAACCCAGTACCACCTGCCACAAGCCCTGCTGCCTTGCAGAGTGTGCTCTTCTTATGCAAAGGCTAGGAGAACTAAACTCCGACTAAAAATTCCCCTGTCTTGGGGGTCTTGGTTTAGTAAAGGCTAGAGATGGTGTCTCGATAAAAACACTCAATTCTCTCTAAACTATTTAACAAGTGTTTGACTGAGTCTTGTTTTCCTGCTTGTTGGAAAATGGCATCTGTGGTTCAAAATATTCAAAAACTCTGACGGAGAAAATTCTGACCCCTCCAGTTATCGTCTGATCAGTCTTCTTTCTGTTATTAGCAAGGTCTTTGAGTCTTTGATCAACAAATTCCTCACATCTCATCTTGAGTCAAATATACTACTGTCAGACAATCAATACGGTTTTCAATCCTCTCGCTCTACGGCCGACTTGCTAACTGCTGTAACTGAAAGATTTTATCGTGCATTAGATGGAGGCGGTGAGGCTAGGGCTATTGCTCTCGACATATCTAAAGCTTTTGACAAAGTTTGAGATTATCAAATCATTTCTTTCTAACCCGTTTATTAAAGTCATCCTTGAAGGCCAACACTCTTCTTTATTTTCAGTTACTTCTGGGGTTCCCGAAGGTTCCATCCTGGGCCCTGTTTTGTTTCTTATTTACATAAACAATCTTCCCGACAACCTTTCATCTAAAGTAGCTCTTTTTGCTAATGACTCAACTTTTTACTCCTGTCTTGACAAAAAGTCTTCTCTTTTCGATCGCCTAGAACAAGCAGCTGATCTTGAATCCGATCTCATTTCAGTAATAGATTGGGGTTCACAGTGGCTTGTGAATTTCAACTCTAAAAAAACCCAGTTGCTTACTGCAAACAACTACCATAATATGGTCAATATTCCTATATTAATGAATGGCAATCCTCTTACTGAGTCCTCCTCTTTACGTCTTCTTGGATTATCGCTTACTACTGACCTTTCATGGAAACCATATAAACAATCGATTGCTAAATTAGCTTCTGCTAAGGTTGCTTCTCTTTATCGTGCTTGTTATTTCCTTACTTCTGATTCCATTCTCTACCTCTACAAATCTCTTATTCGTCCCAGTATGGAATACTGTTGTCATATTTAGGCTGGTTCTTCTCACGATTCACTTTCTCTTCTTGACAAGGTCCAAAAACGCATTGTAAATGTTGTTGGACCTGAACTATCTGCTAAGCTTGAATCTCTTTCCCATCGTCGTAAAGTTGCATCTCTTTCTAAAAACTTTTATTCATCTAGTTTTTTTCCCCGCACTTCAATCCTTTGGAACTCTCTCCCTTCTTCATGTTTTCCTGACTCATACAACCTTCAACTTTTCAAGTCTTCTGTCGACGGTTTCCTTGCTCTTTAACTCTGTTCTTTTTTTTTCCTAGTAACTCCCAACTTAATAGTGGTTGCTTGCAGCCTTGTTGGGAGTGAATGCAAATAAAAAAAAAAAAATTTAAACAGGTGGGAACTCAGGCTAATTATGAGCAAATTGTTCATTTTTGTCTAGTTTAAACTAAAAATATGTAAACTTTTATGTAATTGCATTACAAAATATGTAGCAACTTTTCTTTTGAATTTTAACCACTGTGAGCCACATGATACAACTACCCATATTTAATAAAGTAGCTGAAAAGATTTACAGACAAGAGGACATAACCAAAATAGCTATAAAGAGTTATAAGCACATCAAGGTTCAACTTTTTTAACAAACAAAAAATTGAAACCTAAATAAACTAAATCAAAAATCAATTAAAACATGAAATTGTCAATATTTACTTCTTTAAATACCATAGTTGTTAACATTATTATTAACATACCCAGGAAAAAAAGTTCTATAGAATTTTATATAAACTTTTGAAACATCTGTTAACTTCTATAAAAAATTCCTATTGAAACTTTTTTTTCTCATGTTTTTTTTATAGAAAAAAAAATTTTATAGCAATTTCATTAGAAATTAATAGACATTCTATAGAGTTTCTATAAACCATATGTTTCAAAAGTTTATAGAAAATTCTATAGAACATTTTTCCTGGGACCCTTTGTTTTAGTTACCTGAGCCCAAATATACAGCTTGACTTTTGACACAATTACTTAGATCCAAAATGTGTGGCAATTATTAGTTGATATTTATTATTTTAGTTGTATTTTAATTTCTTAAGTTAGCTAAATACTTATCAATATTTATTAAGAACTACAAAGTAATAAAGTAGTTAAAATTCATTTGAGGTTTAAAAATTAATACTGAAATGAATTTTACTTTTTTTCAAATTATATTCCTGGTACTGGCCTGTACCAAACCAATGTTGTCATGGTACTGGCTAGCCTGGGCCAAACCAATGTTGTCATGGTACTGGCTAGCCTGTGCCAAACCAATGTTGTCATAGAGAGATCTGTATCAAAATTTGGTGTCTACTGAATTTTAATTAAAACTGTAATATAAGGCTACACTTCAACTTTAAAGGTAAAGATTGTCCGGATCATCATTAATGTCTCCTTAATGGAATGCTATTCATTAAAGATAACTTTAATACTGTTATTAAAGAAAAAAATTCTAAAATTTGAGGTTAATTTAAAAAATACATACCTTTAAAGTTTAGAAAATATATTTGAAAATTATGTAGATGGTGGACAATAATGGACTTATTTACTTATTCAAATTACATGGGAAGGTGATATGAAAAAAAAAAAGTAATTAAATGTTAATAAACAATATAATATTTTTAATCAAACAATATAAAATTTGTAATACAAATGCAATTTTCTAACAATATAAAATTTGTAATACAAATGCAATTCTCTAACAGCTTTTGTTCTGTGTGTTAACTTGGATAACTAATAATGCAGAGCTGTTAACAAGGCAAAAAGTAGCAAGGCCAAGACCAAGGCCACGCATTACAAGGTCAAGGCCAATACCAAAGCCAAAAGTTACAAGGCCAGGATCACAAGTTTTAAGGTCAAGGCTAAGGTTAAGAGTTTCAAGGCCAAGGCTTACGCAAAGATTTTCAAGACCAAATACTTCAATTTTTGCTTTATGTTAAGGCCAATTATTAACAAAACTAAAAGTAGGAAGTCCTGTGACAAAAAAATCATATTTTGTAAAAATAGACCAAGGTTATGAGCAGAATTCAACAAAATCACTGAGAAAAAATGTATTTTTGTTAAGACCAGGCCAAAACAATCAAGGTCAAGGCCAAAATTGTCAAGGCTAAGGACTAACTACTTTGTAATAATGTATTGAAATATTAATCCTTATTACCTGATATTATCTTATTACTTGGTAGGTCTTAATAAATGTAAACAAGTATTTAGCTAACTTACCAATGTAATTAGATTTTTTAATTTAAAGCCATAATTTTACAAAACTTAGTTGAATTTAATTTTTTTTTACTTAAAAAATTTCCAGATTTTGAAAAATAAATAAACAAGTTTTTAAATATTTTACCAAAACATGGTCACAAATTTGCATCAATAAAATCAACAAAGATTAGATTTTATCATTTTAATCTATCAGATATATTTAAATTTTTATAGTTGTATATTTATAATTAAATTTGTTTTTAATACCTGACACCTTTTGTTGATCTATACTCGCCACTTGTAGATTCAGTTGCATCAGCAATAAAGTTTGACAAAAATGTTTTACCACTCTAAACAAATATTAACAAATATTTAAAGTATTTAATGCTTTTAAGAATTCAACTAATTAAAATAAAACTGATTGGTTAGATAACATAATTACCTGTTTTGGTCCAATTACCAATATTTTTATTTTGTTAAACATTTCTCATTTTCTTAAAGAAAACAGAAGTACAGTAAATTTATGCATGAATATGTGAACTCATGTATGTATTTATGATGTATGTGATGTAACAGAGTTGCACAAGATTTGTTTTTGCTGTGTTAGCAAAGAAGAAACTTGGAAGTTCAAAATATCTGTTGCTTTATATTTGTGACAAAGTATCTATTGCTTTATATTTATGGAATAAAAAAATTGTTAATTCTGATCAGTCAGATACAAAAGAATTGTTAAATTTTTATTTAAATAACAATTATTAAAAGTCAATCAATTGTTTAAATTGTGCTAGTTTGCCAAATTTAAGGGAAGGTGCAAAATTGTACCATCATATTTTGTACAAAATTTTGTTGTTGTTGCACAGTATTAAATATATAATGTACAACATAAAAGAATGTGTACAAATTTAGCTTATAATGCTGTTAATGTTAACTGAATAAACTGGTGCATATCATGTCAAAAATAATGGTCTCAAGGTTTGGTGATTAGAAAGAACATATCTGGCTGAATGGATGCTCAAAGTGGTGTTCCTCAGCAATCAGAGATGTTTAATTATAATTTTTTAAATATTATTAATGAATACTAGTTACATACTGATTATACAAAGTTAACACCTGCATTAAAACATGATAACATTAATAAAATAAAAAAAAAATAAAAAAGTGAATGCAAATTCTTTTAAAATTATTCAGAACCATTATGATAAATATACAAAAAACTGTGAAAAAACTGCTGTTCTGGCATTTGCTGTTTTTGACTTTTTACACTAATTTTTAGCTTAGATACACTAATTACACTTTAACACTCATTTTTAGCTCAGATATTTTTTAAAAGCTTCATAAAATAATTTTAACTGATAATAAGATAATAATTTAAACCGATAACATTTTCTTAACCCACTCTGCACTGACTACCTATAAAAATTGAAAAAGTAATGATATTTATTTTAGTTAAACAAGTTGAAATGACACGAAATAAGTGAATTATTGACCGGTATGCATAAATCACCATGACCACAAAAGTGCTATTTATACAGTTTTTTTCACAAATTGTTTACATTTTAAAAAAGCATGACGTAAAAAAGCAAGAAACTGTAACTGCCTACAATTGCCGCGTAATAAAATAGAGTATTAACAGTAATCATAATGAATGAACCTTCGTTCCTTTAAAGATGTCGTCAAAAGTTTAAGAATAAAGGTGAGATAGAAAAAAATTCTTATTAACGTTGATTATTTATAGCAGAATGTTGTTTGCACTTTTTTAAATTTATTGTATTCGGTACCGCTTGCAGCAGTGCCGGATTAAGGAGGGGGGGGGGGGGGCTAGGGGGGACTATAGCCCCGGGCCACGCAAATTTAGAGGCCCCCAAAAATTTTAGAAGACCTTTTTTTTTATTATTATTATTTTTTCAGTCATTTTTAGGCTCTGGCCCAAAAAAAGGCCTCCAAAAACTAAAATAGCCCCGGGCCCCAAGAAGTCTTAATCCTCCACTGGCTTGCAGGAGGTTTATAAATTCTAACCTTTTATTTGGTTTATTTTTTAATTTATCCTAAATCGTTTATCTATGGCATAATGTTGTTTGCAGTTTTTTAAATTTATGCAACGACCGCAGTTGAGGTATAGATCTGAACTTTTCAATCTGAACTTCAATCTAAAGTTCAATCTAAACATATTAGTAAAACTAAATATGTTTTATTTCATAAGCCATCTAAGTCAGATAGTTTGCCTCTTCAACTTCCTCAGTTAGTCATAAACAGAATTATTGTAAAAAGAGTCGTGTCAATGAAAATCCTGGGAGTAATATTTGATGAACATCTTAATTGGAAAAGTCATGTTACGCTCGTTGAAAACAAAATTTCTAAAACAATAGCCATTATGTATAAAACAAAACACCTACTAAGTAAAAAATGCTTAAAAGATATATACTACTCTTTTATTCATAGTTATATTAGCTACAGTAACATTGCTTGGGCCAGTACTTGTTCATCAGCATTAAAGAAAATATATATAAAACAAAAACAAGCCAGTAGAGTTATATGTAATTTGCATAAATGTGCCCACGCCAAACCGTTACTCCGTGAAATCAAAGCTTTAAACGTCTATGAGTTAAATTTGTACCAAAATCTATTATTTATGTTTAAATATCAAAACAACATGTTTCCTAAATTCTTTAACAATCATTTTTCAATTATTTCTCATAAATACTTAACGAGGTGCTCTATTCACAATTTTAACTTACCTAAGCCAACATTAAAAAAACAGATTACTCATTTTCATATAGAGGACCTCGTCTATGGAACAGAATTCTTGACGACAAAATGAAAAGTATAACCTTAATACAATCTTTTAAAAATGTAGTTAAACAGAATTTGCCCGACTTAACAGATACAAACATACTTTTATATTTTTAGTTTTAAAATTTAATTACTTTTTACGTTACTTATTTGTTTTTCTTACTGTTTTTTTTTTTTTTTTTTTTTTGTTTTTTACTTTACTTTTGAAGTATTTTTATCTTATTACAATAAAGTTTATATTTATTTGCTTTATATAATGAGTATTGTATATAATGAAATAATAACACGAAAAAAAAAAAGTAAATAATTATTATATATATTTTATTTCTAAATTTTACTTTAGAAGTCTTATTATAGTATAGCTATTTTTAACTTGCTATATAAAATAATTATTTATTTTTTTGTTGAAAAAACTTGTAAAGCTAATCTTTTAAATTTCTTTACTTTATATATTTAATTTAGCAAATTTTATTTTATTATTGTTATTTTAACTTGCTTTATATAGTGAATATAAACTATTATATTTTATATATTATGGATACTTTGTAAAAAATATATCACGCAAATTGTAGGGGCTTGATGACATAACTTATGTCTTCTACTTGCTCCTGTCATTCTTTATATTTTGATTTATTTTATTAAACTTGGAAACCAGAACATTGTAAAATGCTTATATATGACGAAATAAATAAATAAATAAACTTTTACCTAGCTTAATTTAATTTGTATATTCTTCCATCAAGTAACTTATCACATCAAAACTAGTATCTTTACTGCAATTTAAAACTGCGAAAGATTTCGTATACTAATAACCATAAAAAAAAAAAAGAAAAAAGAAAAGAAAAAAAAAAAGAAAAAAAAAAGGAAGTATTAAACCTTATCAAAACAATAATCGTTTTAACATTAATAAATTTAAAGAAACTCTATGGTTGTATAATAAATCTTTTTTCTATGCATCACCGAAGTTTACTAGATTTTTGTTTTTCAACTTTGGAATTTGTTTATTCTAAATCTTTAAACTAGTGTTCGTAAACATCTCACCTATATATAGTACATATACATATATGGAAATAACCCATTGTATTTAAACAGAAAAAATCCGTTTGTTAACGGGAACATCCATTTATATGCGATGGGTTTTTCCGTAAAATAACGGGTAGTTTGGTCATCGGCAGCTGTCGGAACTTTTCCGTAAAAAACGCGCAGTTTTTTTAACAGTGCAGTATACATTACATAGTATAAAAATATTTAATGTTCATAAAGGTCAATGTAAGATCTTTGTTCCAATTACTATTAACCAAATAAACAATGTAGTTAATAATGGTTTAACAATAGCAAATGGAAACAAAGTGGAGGTCGATACAATACTAAACTGCAGTGAGATATCTTTGGAAAATTCAAACCAACATACCCAACTTACCCAAAATAAATATTTTTGAATCTATTAAAGATCCCAATGACCATCTATGGGGTCATATGCCGTTTAGTTCACTTTTCAATTCTGTCAAAATTATATAAAATTATAAACAAGGTAGCATTTTATTATAAAAGCGTTTTTAAAGTCAGGAAAAGGTGGTATAATGTTTATAGAAGAACTGACCTTTTGGCTAAGACAATTTAATAATCAAACAAAATTGAATGGAATCGCCATGAAATGCTTTATGATAATTCCTTCTGTAATGCTACAAAAACCCTCAACACGGTCCAAAGCCAAAGAGCATGCAGAATGTTTAGTGAGACGAATTACTTTATGGAGGAATGGGAACTTTAGTGAACTGATGCGAGAAATTAGATATATACAGAGAAATATTAGCACCTCAAAAAAGAAAAGAACATATGAGGATATCTCAAGGATGTTTGCATAATTGATGATGGAATGTAAAGTTGCTACTGCATTAAAGGTTTTAAACAGGGAATCATCAGGAATTTTACAGTGCTCGGAAAAAGTATTGAAAGAATTGAAAAGTAAACACCCAGACGAATCTCCGGTACAAGATAATTGTTTATTATATGGCCCGTTACAAAACACTCCAGAATGTCTTTTTGATTCCATTGATGAGGTAAGCATATTTAACTCAGCTCCACAAACTAAAGGACCTGCAGGTTCTTCTGGTATAGATGCAGATCTCTACCGTTGAGTCCTATGCTATAAGTGTTTCGGAGCCTCTTGTAAGAGAAAAAGTAGCAATATTTACAAAAGATATTGCAACAAAACCGTACCATCTTGATATAGTTCAACCCTACATTGCTTGTCGATTAATTCCCTACATGGCCTACTTAAAGTTTACGGCCTAATATTCTACATATTTGTCGAAAAAATAGAAGGTCATTAAAAAAGAATTATTGCGCTTCAAAAAGCAAAGCAAATAAACAGACAAAATGTATTTATGTCTTAAAATACATTAAAAATACTTTCTATTCAACAAAAACAAAATTTCGTTTATAGAATTATTTTTTTTTAATTAATTTTTGTTTTCTTAGAACAAAAAAGAAATGTTTATATTAAATTTGTTAAAAACATGTCTTAATTTTTATATTTATGTTCAATCTTACTTTTTTCGTTGCCTTTTTTTAAAACCAACTATGCTGTCTATATAATTACCATCAGTAATTATTTTTCTTTTATTATTGAAGAATATATTACTGATTGTTTTATTTATAAGATTTATCCCAAGTTTAAGGTGATCAGAACAAATGATATTTTCTTTAAATAAATTTTTTTCCAAAATAAACTGAGCAGTGGTTCTGAATAACAAATCAGTGTTGTTAATTACATCAAAAGTAAAGTCTAAAAGTGCAAAAGTATCACAGGTATAATTACACAGATTGGTAGATGGTATAGTCAATCCTCCCCTTGATAAAATTTCAATATATTGTTTATCTGGAAA